AACAATATGACTTTTATTAAGAGTTGCAAGAATCCAGTCAATTTGTATTTTATYCTCTTTGTTAGTCAAGAACGTTTGGATAATGAAATGTTTTTCAAAAGCAGATCTAAYTTCTTGTCTTACTCGCTATTGCTGTCCAAAGTATTTTGATAGTTTGCCGAAGRTTGTTGYTCATCCTTTGATTGTTCAACTACAGGTTCTTTGGATTGTCTTTTGGTTGATTGATGGCTAAAYGCTGTTCTTTGGTCTGCATGAGATGACCTTGTTATTGCCTGATAAACAAAGCAAAAACAATCAAGTCCAACAATGCCATCAATGTTCTACGTGACATGATGTTTTAAAAATTATTTACTGCAATGTAATACCTGCCCAATAAGTTCAATTTTTTGTTTGTGAACACGTCTTGTTCCCTCCTGCTTGAACTAAAAAAAAATAAACAATACATTACAAATAAAAATTGAAAGAAAACAACACAAAAACTGATAAAATACATAAAAAATTATTCTACTCTTATTCTCAGTTAAGTATAGAAAATACTTATGTTTTTCCAGACATTACCTGCAAATCCCAAAACTGTGAGTAGCGACCAGGATCTCTTGGTTGAAAATGTACAGGAATCTAATTGAATGAAACATAAATAAAAATCCAGACAGCAATTTTAAATTAACTGAGGAAATACAAAAATACCAAAGTCCACACAAGCAAAAATAAGAGACACCCTTACCCTAATGATTGCCTTGCCTGCAGCAACACCAGACCGTTTATGGAAGCTAAATGCTGTGTAAGTTGCCCTGTACAAATCCCCTGAGTTTTCTGAAGCCTGTGGGAGAAACAAAGAGACTTAAATACATCTGATAACATCACAATATAACGGTATAACTGTACAATAWTACCTTGATATATGCTGGTGCAACTGATGATAAATCCCACATAACCCCAGAATGACTAGTRTTCTCCATTATTAATTCCATGACAGATTCTTTGCCAGACGAAGTATCTTCAAATTGTATTTGCTTGTTCTTGACTACAAGAGCAGCAAGATGACTAGTTGGCAAAGCAGGGGTGAAGGGYGTGGCTCCACCCTCTTTGGATTCCAATGCCTGTAGTGAAACAGTSCCTGGTTGATAGGGGGTGTTCTCCAAGACTACCTCTTCTCTGATTTGTACCCTTACTGCTCTCTGGATGTTGTCACATTGGATGTAGACTGTGCCACCCCATGGAAGATCAATTCCTGATGAATGAAGTGTCGGTCTTGGGCTCATTACTACCATGACTTGACTCCTAYACAATGATATTTCATAATGAGTTATGGTCAGTCAACTAACACTCCACACTTTATACAGACATGAAATCGCTTGTGGTCTAGTCTTATCTCACCTTCCAGGTACCTGGCCACTATCTGGTGTTATGGTAAGGTACTGCGCAGGCCAAATAAATTCAAATCTGAAGCAAAAAATCAAAATCAATATACATGTATTTTAAAGAATTCAATATTAATTGCTTGATAATCTATCATCTAATACTCTACTTACGACAAAGGTCTTTCAGAAAAGTTAATGATTTGCATTCTTCCCGTTCCTTTCTCACTTACTGAAACAAGCACAAATCAAATAGTTTGATTTTAGCTGTAGATAATATRAAGTTGACAATTTAACATTAACTATTGAGGGGCACTTACAAGTTTTATAAGCAGTCAGTACTAGTTGCTCAGGAAGAACTGTCCATGAGTCAAGATTTCTCATTTCTACATCTAGATGGGAAAAAAATGGCATCAAAAACATGTACAAGTAGTTGTCCCTATTCTCCATTATATCTTTCTGAATGTCTTTACTCTCTCACCTTCTGGAGTTACTGAAGGTGCAACTTTTCTAGTAATACTTGGAGGTTCATTCACAGAGGGGACACTTGTAGCCTGAGGTACATTTTCTGAGGGGCCTGGCATAGGTTCTAAGTCAAGGGACCTATCCTTGTCTTGCACTGTGGGAGGGGACCCAACTAACATAAGTAGGACCCTAGAAACACAACTCTGAAAGAACTGACTCCAGTTGGGAACTTGAGGGTACACTATATCTGAAAATCCAATAAAACATAAAAAATGTTATTGATCCAGTATGATGATACTTAAAATTATGATTACATATTAATCAACTTAACTACCAATGATTGGAGGTACAGTGAAGGAGGTTTTAGTACCTTCAATAAGCTTGTCTTCATCTTGAAAAGCTGTCAAGAAGTTGATGTTTGTAAGAGGTCCTTTGCACTGTGCTGTTGTGTAGGGGATGTCATTTCTTTGAACATATCTGAATGAAAATAAAAAACAGTTTCAATTCTCTATTCATCCTTCCTTACAAGTGTACAAGTTAGTGTATATTAAACTTGTTGATGGTAGCCTCAAGACTTATCACTCAGAACCACTGAAAGAAGGCAAGTTTAGAGGATGAAGAAAAGTCAAACTCTGAGGAAATACCCATAGTTAAAGGTGAAGTTTGTAAAGAACCTGGTAGAATGCATCAAACCTTTTATACTGCTGTCGGATGCCTTCATCTCCTGTGTAGAAAGCAATTGTTGCAACTGTGCTCATCTCATTTCTGCATTTAAGTGCATCACTCTCTAAGGGCTGATAGACAACTATCACTTGCTGTAATTATAAAAATGAATAATACATTCAGTAACTACAAAATTGAGAAATACAGTTTAACAGCACATGATGAATTCTTACTTTTGATGTTCTTTCTGGAAGGACAAAATTGTTTGGAGCAATATTCAGATGTGATGCGGGATACACAGTTTGAGAAGCTACATCTAAAATAAAGATTGAAACAGTTCTCAGCGTAAATTCAATAAGATTGAGCATCAATTCACAAAATTACAAAAYAATATCAACTTACCAGAGTAGCAGACTGCTTTTACAAATGCAGCTCTATTTCCARTATTCTTAACAGTCACTTTGACAACATTTTTCTTGCCAAGATAAACCTATAAAACAAAGAAGAAGTTGAAAAATGGTTATCTYGTGTTTAGAGGTGACAGCTTGTTAAAAGAGAGAATGAGATTTTTACCTCCCCCATGTTGGCAATGTATCCTTCACTGAGTTTCCTAGTGTCAACAAGAACAAGTTCACTTGAACCACCACAGCCATGAAGAGGAACCTGAAGGATAGCAAGAGTCTTGTTAATGAGGGAAGAGAATGAAAAAAAAATAGCAAAGTTGTACATCAGTATTGGTAGCAAATTACTGCTCACCTTGGATTTTGTTTTGTTATTTCTTATTAACAAAGCACTGGATATTAATCCTAGTGTACTTGGTGCAAAYAARATATGMACAGGAAGCTCCTCCTGCAAAACAAACAATAAAAAAACACATTTGTTGGTATTCAACAATACAGCATCGAAACAATTGATGGAAAAGAAACAAAGACCTTMAATGGAGGAAAGAGGAAAACTAGAATAGTATTACAACAAAAAAAGTAATGAAGCAATATCAAAAATAAATAAACAAAAAAGAAAGTTATTCTACCATGCATTAGCAGCATGTAAGAATAACTGCATTTTACAAGTTGAGGTATTTGCAATGCATGTATTCAATAAAGAAGACGGATGGTGTAATCTATGGTCGTCATACCTGAGGAGCAAGATTGACAATAGATGCCATTGACTTCTCATCCACTTTACCAAAAGTGTTTTGAAGCTGAAAGGAACACAAGTCATGACATTAACTTACTATCAAAAGGCACTCAGTTTTCATCCAGGAAACACCATATTTACCTGGAAATCAGGATGCTGTACTGAAAGTTGCAGCCTCAACCTCTTTGATG